GATTAAGCTCTGTTTTGAATCATCCATTCCCTAACAGCCTGACTGTAATCTTATAACAGCCAAAAGTTGTTGAGCCCAAAACATTTGCTTCGGGTCATATTCCTCCATAAATAAATAAATATTCAAATCAACCAAAAATGTAAAAGATTTTTAGATTTATTTAGGAAAGTTTTCTTGTTAGACGCGTGTACCGTGAAATTGTACAGACGTTTAGACGCGTGTACCGTGAACATATATGTATATCTTCAGGGTTGCAATATTTATAATTTATAGATTACCAAAGAAACAAGAATATAGTCACGTATATGCAAAATAATGTACCAGTAGGTTGGTGTGAAAAACTAAAAACTCACTCACCCTCAAGTTCCTGTTGAGATTTTTTTTTCTCTCTCTATTTGACGATCACCAACAATGAGAGTTTTGAAGATTTGTCTTCAGTGTTAACACTCTTCATTTTAGTTATGTCATTAGTGAATATTACAGTAATGATCTGGGTGATTATTCTAACTGATAATATTAATTATTGTGTTAAACTAGTCAAATTTCGCTGGCCTTCATTTTATTAAATTTCTGCTTTCTCGGGAAATACACGATTTATTACGAATATATGGACAATGAAAAAACCAATAATCAAAATAAAATTGATCAAATAAAAATATATACATACTTAGTTCAACCTGAATTAGAAACCTGTGCTACACTGTAAAATACCAAATAAATTACATATTGATATCAAATCTACCGTTATACAGCGATAACAATCTATCAACTTCATACCGCCACACTAAAAACCGACTTCAAAATTAATGAAACCATTACAAGACTTTTATTTTTCAAATCAGTTACAAATTAAATTACCATTAACCGGTAATTAATGCCGATTTAATCACATAAATCGCAAATCACAAGTATGTTTTGCATTCTAATGACAAAAATATATCACGGAATAAGCTGGTAGGTATAAATAACGTATTAATTATAATTTGTAAGACATAATTCTATTTTCCAACAGTAACTATTTCTGTTTAAAATATTAGTTTTTCAATTGCATTTCTCTTCTTCAAATCCAGATTTGCTACAATTTTTCGTGTTCGAAATGTATAATATTTAAAGACAATTCCGAAACATGTGTTTAAAGTTAGCTAATATTATTCTAATTACTTATTGGGTCTAAAAACATTGCTTTGGTGACTGATAATAGCTTTCAAAATAACACAATTTCAACAAAGCAATGATACTATTAATAACATTCACAAGGAGGAAATCCGATAATCGAAAGTAGGAAAGTAAAGCCAAAGAAACAAGTTTAAAAATGGGACAGAAAACACTGCAGAAGAAATTTCCTGGCTGGTACGAATGATAGCATTCCATCATATTAATGTCGTATAATAAATAATTCAGATCAACGATTAAGTTATAAGTTTACATCGATATTCTAGATCGTCGCATCAATATAAATTATATTAAACATTTTTAAGTTGCAAAACTAAACGGAAACAGTTTATAGCATTTCAAATCGGACAGAATCAATAAGTCGTATCTACATTCAGATAGATTCATGTATCACCGACCTTTTACTGCTGTACTAAGCAAAGCGATTCTTGCTTCTGCATCGATGGTAAATTTTTCGGTAGGCAAGAAACTAAAAATATGTATTGATGTTTTCCTCCATGATTTATTCTGCTTAAATATTGCGGTTAAGCTTTACTAAAATTATTACAAGCAAAGTAAAAAATTTACTTTAGAAAATTCAATGGACTTTTTTGGAATTTTACTCGTAATATTGTCACTCATTCTGGACTTACGTTGCTTTAATTTTGTTAAATAATATTGATATTTTTACTTTACAATGGGGTAAAGAACGAAAACAACAAGAAAAATTGCAAATAAATGTACAACCAGAAAAATATATTTGTTTTCTATTCAATACTAGATTAAATGATACTAATAATATTTATCTACTATTTTATTTATACTGATATCACTCAAAAATGCTTATATTCCAATATAATCATGCTTAAGGAAATCATAAAATGCAGGATAATCTTGCTCCATCGCATTTTTAATGACTGCAAGTGCTAAAAATTTTCTTATTTTATTTGAATAAACTTGGAAGGTTTTCCATTTTTCATTGCTCAGAAAGTTCCTCTTTAAATTAAATCGAGCCTTCAGATTTATATGTTGGGGCTCTTAATTTCTGAACAGCAGGATCGCCTATTTTACGCCATTTTTTCAGGGCGGATTGAGCCAACAAAATTAAACTTGGAGAAATCCTAAAAATAACTATGTTGTAGATATTGAACCCAGTAGGGTTTTGGTGCTGTTCTGACAGTTTTTTTCATAATAAACATAATCTGTTAGCACGTTTATAACTCTGCCAGAATTTGTTTACTTAAAAACGCTTAAAGAAAGTCACACTTTACATTCGCAAATCTATTTTTAACATATAATTTTTTTCTGTTAGTATAATAATATTTTTTTGTTATATTGGCAATAGGATTAACGCTGCCAAATGTGTTTACTGCATGCCACTAATTAACAGGACAGTTGTAAACTATTTTCAAAATACAGTTTAACTTCGCATTCGCCATATGCTAGGCTGAAAGTCGTTATATGGAATCGGCATTCGTCAGCTTAAGTTTGAACTAGATAAGTTGATGTAGAAAACGTGTTGTGACAAAAATAGCAAAACAAACGCCGAACGTGAATTGCACAATGCTGTTGGCAACCGGAGAGTGTTTTTAGCAACTACAAAAGACTATTGAAACATTTATATTGGAGATTAAGCCCACCCACATGAGCAAGCTCAGCGATGATGGTTTAACACCTTGAGATCGATGCCACACACGCATTTCCAAGTGCCGGTTGTGGGTATCGATATCCAGTATCGACTGAAGTCTATCCGAATTTAGAAGGGAATTCACAGAAAGTGAGACATGAAATGGAAATCATTCTTCACAATATATTTAAACGTCTTTGATTTTACAATTGAACAGCCTTGAAAATGGAACTTTTGATACTCATTAACGTCTGATGTTTTTGCAGTCTTCTTTGATAAGTTCATGTGTTTGAAGAACAGTTTCAGAGAAAAAAGAACAGCGGATTTTTCGTTCTAAATTCAAAGCCATGAGATGAGAAAGTTTAACAATCTTAACAAGAGAGTAGTTTCGGCCAGAAAAGAAAGAAAAATATTATTTCCACAGCGCAAGGTTTTAATAGAAAAAGTTTGTACAAAAAGCTTTATTTGAAATTGACTTCTAAACTAAATATTATTGCCATGTAATTTGCACATCATTGTGAACCAAATACCAAAGTTTGCGAAATATTTAATATTGTGCCAAAGTAATATTCGCTACCAATTTGAAGAGCAAAATTACTTTCTAAATACGCCCTTAAATTGTTTGCACGTCTTTATTAAACATCATGTATAATCCTTAATAGAAAAAACATAAATACATATGTATTTACTACAATCTCAAACTCTCACACAAATTTAAATTTATTGCACAAATGTATCAAAGTTTTAAAAACTATTAGCTTATTCGTATAATTAACCAATTACCCTGTACCTAACCGCATTAAAATTTAATAAAAAGAAATAGTGTTTGAGAGACATTATCAACCGGTTTTGAATGCGGAAATTGAAGAGTTGGAAATATTAGCAGCTCGTAATTTATGACAAAATCGAATGGGTGCTTCTAGAAATAAACAATAAAACAACTTATTCCATTATTACATGCTATTAATTAACGATTTATTAACGAGAGAATTATAACGTTTACAAATTGAGATGTTGATATTATCACGCTGCGTGTAGGTTTATGCAAATGATTAACAATAATTTAGCTCTCAGGTGTTATTTAAACAAATAAGCAGCGTGTGCTGAGAATTGCGGACATTAATATCTTTTAATTTATTAAATTGTGAAACTATTGCCCCGGGTGGATTTGACTAAGGCAACTTCATTGAAATTAAAAATCACCAGCATGATGGCTAAAGACTGTTTCACAAATTTACCTGTTTATGTTCTACTAAACTAATCGTTAAAGGGTTATTTGAAGGAACTGATCGTTCGATCGAAGAAGCAAACGTTGGTCATAGATACATGAAAGGAGAATTATGGAATAAGCATCAATGTGAAACGGCAAGTAAGGATCATTTATGAGGAAACGTAAGTACGTGTGTGATAAATAAAAGTACAAATCAAAATCACTGGATTTTTTTCAAGTATTTTATGTTTAGACCAATTAGAATTCCCCGCTTCAAACTGCTTTTAGACGTGCTGCGAAACTGGGTTTTCAAGGACAACTATTGTTGCTAAAAGATCACAGTGGCTCGATTTGGAACGTTAAGAAGGTATTCTAGATGTTGAATAATAAATAATACAAGGCACATCACAATCCAATTTAAAATTGCACTAGCAATGCTTTGCAGAACACTAGGACGTCAATTGTGCGTCACATTTCCGATTTTTTTACGTGCAAAAAGTCTTAAAAAATTCGTGAAAATAAATTATTGCTTAATTATGTCCGGTCGATGCTCCGTGCACTCGATAAGAAATTAACAATTTTCACAATGTTAACACGAGATGAGATCAACGACTAAGAGTTTGATTATGTTCCCTAATTTCTTTGTATTTAATTCTGCTTTTGAAGCCTTTTTGTGAAATTTCATTAAACCATTTTTGCATTAATGTTTTTGAATTTATTTCATTTTGAATAGCAAAAAGAATTATTCCGTGCAAAAATAACATAAGTTATTATAAAAGAACAGTTTTCATAATTAGTTCATATTAATAAAATATGTCCCATTTGATTTAAGAGATACATTCTGAAACAAAGAGTTTTTTTACTCACTTCAAAATATAACTTGTTTGACTAACGCGATTTTTGAAATAAACGACTCAAATTTAATTGGATTTTGCCACTCTTATATTATTATAAGTTTTATCCAGTTGCAAATAAACCTACAAATTCTTCAGTATCAAAATAGTATCTTACCTGAACTTGGTCGATCCGAGTACCTGGTGCAGTAAACCCATGCTGGCCACAGAATCGGCTGCCCATCTTTTCCTCGCTCTCCCTTACTGTCACAGACTCCATCTCCTTTTGGACTGAGATCGACTGGACCTTTTTCTCCATCGGTTCCGCATCCGTCGCTTTTTAAAATACCGGGGGACGTTGACAGGGTTCGCCCTTTTTCTTGCAGTCTGTACTCGCCCGGAAAACTCGACAACTTTTCTCCAACATGAAGAGCCGCTAAGCCACTTAACTTTTCCGCCGACGTTCTCCGACAAGGAGGTTTGCTTTTCCGTATGGTAATCGGGTCTAGAATTTTACTCCTGCCGAAATCAGCTTTTAGAATATTATCTATGGAGAATTTCAGGCTTTCCTGATTGATGGAAGCTGCAGACTCGTTTGAGATATTTGGGTCGCTGTTTTGAGGGCTTGGTGGATTGACTGAGGGGTTCGTTTGCGACGAATGGCTGTGATAGAATGGGCTTGCTGCTTGACATCTGAAAATAAAATAGGAAACGTTTTCAAAATCATTTGACCTTAATATGATTTTGTTCATTTTAATGGCAGTATTTTAGGTAAACAGAATTGCATTAAGCCGCGAATCAGCACAGAAGCGTGCACCAATGTTTACCTAAGCCAAATAATACGTCTCCACTAGTTTTCAAGTGAATCTAAATTAACTTGGCCTTTGTTCAATAACGTCTTAAATTGAGAATCCGCAGGGAACAAAGTTTATTCAAATTATATCAGAAAATTGCAAATTTCTCTGCTAAAGCTGCCGTATGAAAGAGTAGATATTGTTTGCTTATACAGGGTGTCCCGTAAGCACATTATCAAAACGGTACTGCCATATTCTTTGGATCAAAAGAAGACCTAACTTTTATTAACAAAAAATGATCCGTTATTGGTCACAATTCTTCAAAAAAAAATGTCTCTACATCGGGAGAATGGTACGATGGATTTTGGTGAAACTCACTCTGAATTTGTTCTTATGTAAGCCTCAGAGTTCAGCCGTTTTGGACAAGTGGTAAATTCTTGAGAGTCGTGGTACAAAAACTACTAGAACTTTTTATTTGGCCGATAAAATCAACTCATTTTTTTTGGTTGATGCACTAATCATTTATTCACAACTTTGTACTCTTCGTAAAATCATGTAGCATTCATCGTTTTTACACAAAACTTTGCCACTTAACATTGTTAGATGTGGTAGTATTTGCACCACGACACTAACGAATTCACCACTTGTCCAAAACGGATGAACTCGATTGTTTCATCAAAATATGAGTCTTACATAACAACAACTTTCTAATGCTTCGCAAGGATGCGGAATTTTCCGGATTAGCTCTCTTCAGAATTGTTTTTAGTAGAAAGTGTTGGCGAAATTAACAGCTCTTTGCCCACGGAATCGGCTAATTTGTGATCATTTAGGACGGGCTACTCCCACAAACTATTTGCGGGAGCAGAGAGAACCACAGGCATCTACCGTTTTAAGCGGCTACATAATTTTAAGTAATTATATTTTGCAAACCTGAAGCAACGAGAAGACATTTTTCATTTTCGGGCTCAGTCTTTTCAAGTTATTTTACTTAGTTATTCTCTAACTGCTGCGAACCAAAGTGTGGACTAAACTGTGCAATTATATTATGTGATATGTTTCTTCTAAACTGCTCAACAAAATCAACAGTTCACTGACAAATTTCACTAATTTTAGAACTGAATAAATTCTGACTGCTTAGACCAAATTGATTTCTGCTTGAGGCGTTATTTAATGCAATTCCTTCTCGGTTGGTGAGTGGTTGCGCAGAAAAATAGAGTGTCAGATCAAATTTCTACAGGGTGTCAAATGAAACAATGAAAAAAATTGGTGAAAGTTCCGCGTACTATCAGTTGGGCAAAAAAAACGACTTTTTGAATTTCAACACTAGAAGCATTAAGATAGACCTTCCAGAATCATCGATTTAGAAAGCAAATGTGATCTGGGTAATTTTTCGGCCAACTCTAGATATGAACATTTCTTTTTATTCGAATGAATCTAAAAGTGAAATTTTTCGATCAGAAGCGATGATCAAAAAGTATCACTTTTCTTTACTGTTCATTTGTTTTACTTTTGCGCACGGACTTTTATGCACGTGTGCGCAAAGTAAATGTCACAAATTCAACGTGTCACTGTCATAAAATATTTTAAAGTATTTTTATTAAAAAGAAACCGACAGTCTTTTTTAATTAATTACGTAGGTATATAAAGAACTATTGATCATAATTTAAAGTTTACTTACAATTTGTAAATTATAACTTTGTTACAAGTCTCAAAGTCATTCAAAGGGTCTATTTTTCTGCGCCACGTTGCCATAAGCAAAACACGATTTTTTTAAAGGTCGCAATTTTTTTCAAAATATACATCTTATACAAACACCATACCGTGAAAGCAGCACTTGAATTTTCAACACTCATTGTTTCACTTGTATATCCTTACAAAAGTACGCTTTTGAAAAAGTACAAACGTCTAAACATGACAATTTCAAAAATGGCATTGACATCAAATTTTAAATATGAAGGTGACGGCTTTTATTTTTGGCTATTTTTATTTATTATAACTTTATTCCTTTATTCGAATACAAAATATTGTTCGATACGAGGGCAAAAATCCGTTTTTCGAACTCTTGGCGGATTGACACCCTCGACTTCGCCTCGGGTGGCAAACGCCGTCTTCGTTCGAAAAACGACACTTTTCGCCCTTGTATCAAAAACTACTATTTAAAGCGTGTATGAAGTTTAGGCTTCATCAGCTAACATCCGCTCTAGATCGTAAAACGCATACCAAAACCAGGAAATTGATGGCTCCGAAACCAAAAAAGTTGATTTTTTAAGACCGCCCTGTTTATAGAACCAGAAAACCTGATTTTTGTCCAACTAGGAAGATGCCAAACTTTGCAAAATTTTACATTTTTGTATTAACCGTCCGGTAAAAATTTATCTGAGGCGCTTAATATTTACCAAAACATTGACTAATCAAAAATAAATGGGGCTCAATGACCCTTCAAACCGAAACCAAATCGCTCCAAGCAATCAGAATTTATCCAGTTCCAAAGTTGGGGCAAATTTGGCTAAATAAAAATATTTATATTTTAATAGATAGACACGAAGTGTCTGTCGTCTTTCCTTGATACATTCAAAGAAAAGGCTTATTAGGATTGCTACTGATTAACTACTGTGACGTTTATGGTCAATTTAATCATTTTGTAGTCTTGCTAAATTTCTACTTAACTATAATTAAATTTTAACGAAGATTAGAACATTAATATACATTATAATGAGCTTAGTCGACCTGTTCTCTGAGGCCTTATAAATGAGACTAGAATAGTAAATAGAATTTAAAAACTTTAGGGAAAAATTAATATTGAATGCTTGACTTTGTATTATGCACCAATATCCAGTTCGGCAAGTTAATATTGTCAGCAAATAATACCTACATAATAATCGGCAATGCTAGACAATAGACCAAGTGCCACAAGATTCAATTACATACTTCGATAGCTATTGATCGAGATTGAAAACGTCTTTTAATTCTTCAGAATCTAAAATAAAATGATGCCTTTCATGCCACTTCAGTCACTCATTGCTTTGCACAATACTAGTTTTTGGGTCAATCAGAATACGTATTGATAACCGTTGCTAAACGTTTTTCCGCGCTGGGCGATTTTTATTTGCATTTCTGCAACAAACTATAGGCCTTTAGAAACTGATCAGATAGAGATGTGGCAAGTCATCTTTGTCAATTTAATTATTTCAAAAGACTAAACTATAATAATCAATCAATGCGACTTAAAATTATGCCTGTTTCAACCGTTGTGGGTAAAGCAAAGTAATTTATTTGCGAATAATGACTACACTTATTATATGGGAACTATTATTTCGATCGCATTCAAGTAGATACATACAGAGATTATTACGACAAAATATATCGTTGCTACATCACAAACTATCAACTTTTACTTTAGTAATTTTACTAATTACTAATATTTGATTGTTAGTTAGTTAATTAATAAACGTGTAGTTCATGTTTGATTCCCATGTTGGTCTTACTGAAATCCTGTCCAAGCTGGGAATTAATTGGAAAATGATCAGAGCAGGGTGAAAAAGTATTAAAAGCTCCCACTCGCGTTGGAATGAGCTCATGTAGAATATAGTTGTGAGAGAACTGAAATGAAATGTGCTGATCTCTTATATTCAAAGTGAGAAAATATTTTCGTTTAAAAATCAATCAAGTTCTCCATCACTAAATTCAAGATTAACAGTTTAAAAAAACATATCGAAAAGGCCTCATCAAAATTGTCTTCCAAACTACAAAAAAAAAACATTTGCGCATTATTATGTATATAGAAGATTTTTTCTTCATAAATTGTCTAACTATAAAACAAGCATTACGTCCATAAAATGAAATCGATTACATACTAAGTACTGAAAAATATATCATCAAATATGTAAGAGTCCCGATCAGATTCGATTGACGATGATATTGACGGCAATTTTGAAATGAAAAGAAAACTTAATGGAAACAACGAGCAACTGGACATGACAAAACTTGCCCAAAAACACCAGACATGAACAGGGATAATGAAAATAGAGATTAAATAAACGATACCCTAACAGAAACCATGGTTAGAGTAGGAAAGGAAATAGCACAAAAGGAAAATTGCATCAAATCAGAGACAGAAGAACATCAGCAGAATCAATAGAATACGTAGAAATGAATAAGACTATCAGGAAAATAATAAAACAAAACAAAAGACAAGAACAAGAATCAGAAATAGAAAGAGTTATAGAAAGCAACAGAAATATGAAATGCTTAAGACCAACAAGAAAAATAAATTAAAAGACATGAATGGCGTAGAAACGAATATTAAAGATGATATCAATATCACACAGCTATTTTACACAAAACTATACCAAACAAAAAGGGAACCACGGAAAGAAATCATAGAACAACTACAAAATAAAATAAAGAACGTAAACTTAGAACTACAACCCGAAATAAGCAGATCGGAAATAAAGAGGGCACTGAAAAAAATGAAAAACAACTAAGCACCTTGAAAAGACGGAATAACGGCAGAAATGCTAAAATATGCTGGAAAACTGTGGTTCATACTCTTCTCTCCTAAATAAAATGCTAAAAAATAGAAGAATCTCAAAGAATTGGAATGAATCCCTAACCATCATCCGACATAAGACCAGACTTAAAAAACTATCGACCTTTAACAATCCTTAATGTAGTTTATAGGCTCCTTACAAAATACTAACAACTAGGCTAACAACAAAATTCGACGGATACCAATCGAAAGAACAGGCCGGCTTCAGATAGGGATTCAGCACGAGCGACCACCTTTTAACAATAAAAATCCTAATAGAAAGATCCCACGAATATCACATCCCATTATATATTGCGTTTCTCGACTTCAAAAAGGCTTCTGATAGTGCTGAACACTGGGCAGTGAAAAGCTTGTTAATTAATAGCAGAATAGACTGCAATACAGAGACATAATAACCAACATATATAGCGAAGCAACAACAATTGAAATTCATGAGGAAACAAGGCCAATACACATAAGAAGAGGTGTGAGACAGGCCGAGACAATATCACTTAAACTTTTTAACCAGGCCCTAGAGCATATTTTTCAAAAATTGGACTGGGAGGAAAAACGTATGAAAATATGTGGGCTACACCTGAACAACCTAAGATACGCGAAGGATATCGCCTTGAAAACAGATAAGAAAGAAGAACTGAAGGAAATCCTACTGGAAGAAATAAACTCATAGATAAGAAGAGAAACGAGTGGATAAGAAATAAAACGAAAAGTAAGACATGTCAGAGAGAAACTGGGCGAGGTCTATCTCGAAAGGTGAAATGAAGAAGACTAGTTAAATAGATAGATGAAAGAAGAATTACATCCATAATTTGATGCGCGAAGAAACATTAAAACACAGTTTTGGACAAGGCAACATTTTCCATATTAAAACGAAGTAACTAAGTAGGTACCTAATCTAAATTTTGGGCCTCTGGGGACCGGGGGCGTATGTTTAGGTACATACACTTTCAGTCAGATATATTTTTTTTAAATCAACAACGCGAACTTAGTAAAAAAGCAAATCTTTCAAAAGTGAATCGCGAGCAAAAGAGAATAGATAGAATAGACAAAAGAGAATAGAGAAGAGTGGTATGTTGGCAACGCCATATTATATTATTATTACATTTCCCAATTAGTTCGACCTCATTAAATGTCGTAATTTTTTAGTGTCGAACAAAAAACATTATTGATTTTGAAACACTGTTAGTGATGTGAACACTGGTTGCAATAACGCATGCTAATAATAGTGCATTGTTATTACGTATAATACATTTTTATGTTCGCGGCGTTATATTCAGTCGCTCGCATAAACAACTTTATAAATAAGCGATAAAATTGTTTCAATAACATTTGATATGGTTATACTCAGTTTCTAGAAATTTCCGTTGAAAATAATGATCTAGGTAGCTATAAAAGTTTATTGCTTTAGCGGCTGAAGTCAAATTGGGTCGAGTGATATAAACAAAGAATTTTGGTGTTTTCCGGTGTAATAACTAAATTTTCGAAAATTCTAAGACTAATCTTTCAATAATCATTTTAAGAATTGGATTGTAGTGAATTTATATTCAACTCAATTAGTCCCAATCCTATGTTTATTTAATGTAGGTTGTTCGGGAGGTCTTTTATTATTATGCTATAAGTAGGTTCATTTCTGTTTTATAAAGATTTTACTTTTTTATTTACGGAGTTCAAAAAATTAATTGGACCCAAGTGAGAAAAATATTATTGCATTTAGATCAGTTTCGGTTTTTACGTGCGCATTTTTACAAACATAGATTAGATAATGGTCCTTTTGTACCCAGAAAATATGTAGATAGATAGATATGTAGCAAGTTTTGTTTTTCTTTCCTAAAAAATCACGATTTTAAAGTTTTTAAAAGCTACCTATATCTACTAATAAAAATTCGCTGCTGTGAAAGGAGTGAAGGGGTGACTTTCGCGCCGTTAATTTTTGAGCACTTAGGACAAACTTGAAAAAAATTTGCAAAAAAATTAAAAGCATAGCAAAGAGACACTCCAATTGAAAGACCGTGAATATTGACTTTTAAAAATTGGCGAATTTTCCCTAAAACCCTTCTGCATATTTTTGACTAATTCCGAATTACTGTGGAAATACGTTGATATGAAAATCGACTACATTTAGTCATAATGCTTAAATGAATTTTTCGAATAAATACCTCGATCCAGGACTTCCAGGACTGTCACCGCCATCGCTCCTCACTGATCTGGGCGAGCACAAACTCGAACTGGTCTCTCCTGTCCTAAAATTGAACTGTTCACTCCGAAACCCGAAACAGCCTAAATGTTCACTTTTAAAGCCCCCGATTTCACTTTTAAACAGATAGTTGTTTTGAGGCGACGGACAGTCTCCTCCAAACGACTTTGTGCTGCTGTTTGATGGACTCAGTCGATGATGCGCTGAAGAGGATACTGGACTAGAAGACACTCGAACAGTGTCAGTGTGTTCATTTCGCAGAGTGCTATTTGTGATTTGAGATAAGGCGTTCAAGTGATTTTCAATGTTTTTGAAACTCAATGTGGATTCAGGCTCCTCAGCTGGTGCTACTTGCGGAGCAGTGTTAGGCTGGTTTTCATTTTCATTGCCCACTGACAAAACCGTATCATCACTAGAGCAACTGTTTTGATCAATATGGGGTGAATTGCGTTCGAAGTGATCACTGCTGGAGTCCATGGACTCAGTTGGAGTTACTAAACGAGGTCTGAACGCAAGTAGATGAGGAATCATAGCAACATTAGAGGTTAAGGCTGCCATAATGTCATGTTTTCCACAACGTTCACTTAATTAAACCTTCACCGAATATAAGAAATCACTTCAGTCGCGATCCGAATACATCAGATCAAAAGCATCGATCGATCTTTACCCGACAACTTACAACAAACATCTGACTGTTTCCTGATCACATTAGGGCGGGGCAAACCGAGTTAGGCGGAGCAAAAGGGGACGGACACGAAAAATAAACGAATCAAGTGGGAGGACGCCGCATTCTCCCGTCTTTCCGGACAGTTTTTTGTTATTTATCGATAAAGGAGTTCGAAAAAAAGTTGCCCATCAGGATTTTAAAAGCGGTTTTCAAAGATTCTACATGGAGTATTTAAACGTATTACGATGTTGGATTGTTTATGCTTGTGTGGATTTTTTGACGTGATGTCTTGTTTGTGGAATGCGATCTTGTTGAAATTGATTGTCCGTGATGGGTATATGAGCTCGAGATTGGCTTGGAGTTAAGTGTCTATTGCTGGTCAATATACAGAGTCAATTTCAAGCTGACGACGATGGGTGAAACAGATCTTGGTTAAAGTGTCTGTGAAAATGGGAATAAAACGATTTCGAGAAGTTTTATATGGTTGAAGCTCATACATATGAAGGTACTTCCAAAACTTTCTTTTTTGGAAACGTTTTTCCAATTTTAGACCATTTGGAAAATCCAATTTTGAGTCGTTTTTCATCACCGATTGCAAATGAGTCTAGTGGTAATGAATATTACCGGACGGTCGGATATATTGGGACGCGCTTAGAATGTGCGGTGACTATTTCAAGTCGTACCTGCCTAAGTGAGATTTATTTAGAAATGTTATTTTATAGTTTGTTTCTTCAAAAGATGACTAAACATATAAAAAAATTAATTGCAGTTGACACAAACTTCTAAATTTATTAAAAAGAAAGTTTTCATTTTACTGGTTTTTAATAGATACGTAGTCTCTTTCCGACTAAATTTGTTCAAACATTCCATCGAATTTTGAGATCATTATTAAAAGCATGTAAAAAAAGCGTTACCTGATAGATGATTTCTTTCTAATGTAGATATGATTGATGTTCTGTTATTGATTTATTTAACCGCCTTAAGGTTTTTCTTATGTGAAATGCATTAAATACGCAAAGGCTTTTATAAATTACGTTTCTTAAATTTCCAGTTTTACCGTACAATTTGGTTTTGTGTTTAGTTTGATTTTAATAGTAGTTTTCGATACATAGGGGGAAAAGTGTCGTTTTTCGAACGACGGCAGCGTTTGATCAGGAGTTCGACAAACGGATTTTCTCCCTCGTATCGAACAATATTTTTTATTCGAATAAAGGACATGGCACAAAAAATAAGTTATTATAAATAAAAATAGCCAAAAATAAAAGCCGTCAACTTCATATTTCAAATTTGACGTCAATGCCATTTTTGAAATTGTCCTGTTTTGACGTTTGTGAGTTTTTAAAAGCGTACTTTTGTAAGCATATACAAGTTAAACAATGAGTGTTGAAAATTCAAGTGCTGCTTTCACGGTATGATGTTTGTATAAGATGCATATTTTGCATAAAATTTGCGCTGTTTAAAAAAATCGGGTTTTGCTTATGGCAACATCGGCGAGCCCAAAAAATAGACCATTTAAACGACTTTGAGACTGAACTTATAACAAAGTCGTAATTTACAAATTGTAAGTAAACTTTAAATTATGATTAATAGTTCTCTATAAACGTACGTAATTCATTAAAAATGCATGTAGGTTACTTTTTAATGAAAAAACTTTAAAAAATATTATGACAGTGACACGTTCAATTTGTCACATTTCCTTTTGCGCACATGTGCGTAAAAGTCCGTGCGTAAAAGTAAAACAAATGAACAGTAAAGAAAAGTGCTTCTTTTTTATCATCGCTTTTGATCGAAAAATTACACTTTTAGATTCATTCGAATAAAAAATATGTTTCCGCTAACATGAAACTTTCTTTTGAGAAATTGAGTAACCGGCATAGAACCAAATAACCAACGAGTCGATAATACAGTCGAGGTGGCCCCACGTTCTAGCATTGAAAGGCAAACGTCAGATCGGAAGCCTTACTTCTGCAGAAACGGAATCGTTAATAACGAAATTTTTATCCACCTTTGATGATATTTCCGCGAAAAAACTGTTATGAACATCAAGTTGAATACAAAATTACCTTTTTACTGTCTGGTTTGATCACTTTATTGAAAAAGGCTGCCCATCTGAAAATAATCCAATTTTTCTCATCCTAGATGGACATAATATATATTATATTTGGGTATACCCATAAGTACTAGGGACGTTGATGTTGTCGTGACGGCTAAAGAAAATTTGGTTACAATTCTTTGTATTCCCCCGCACACATCTCCAAAAATCCAGCCCCTTGATAAAACAGTAATGGGGCACTAAAGATATTTTATAATCAGGAAATTAGACTTTTCTTGAGAACTGTCACTCACTTTTTAGCCCGGCTTACTTAAAAGTTCATTCCGCCGAACCAGCTGTTAAGAGTGTTGCTGTTACAGAGATTTATCAGCTTAGAAGGAATGTTTTTACTGATGAGGATTTTTTTGGCAGCGTTGCATAATGATTATGTAGTTTAAGAACAACCGCTTGCCGAATTTAATCGCGAAAATAGAGAAGAAAGGCAATGTTTACCAATTTCAGTTCCCAGAAGACATTATTCGGCACCCACCACCAATAAGAAAATATCAACCAGGGGTAGAAAACTGGGAAAGGCAAAGATAATAACTTCTACACCGAATAAAGAAGAATTAGAGAAGCTTATAAATTGGAGAATAGAAAAACGGGAAATGGTAATCAAAAAAATTTTTGATGCAGAACCAGGATGCAGTGGAATGCAAAGCAAACTTAGAAAACAAGAGGAGTTGAAAAAAAAAGTTTCATCTTCAGAATGTGCAGGTGCCGAATACATCTGTGATTTCTGTTCTTAGATATTTAGTTCTATGTTACTCTTGTTATTGCTAATTTTTGTGTTCTGTTTTTAGTACTAATTCTTCAATTTATTTTCTTCTTGAAAACCGTAGTTGTCTGAGAAAAGATTCGAATATTTGGATGATTTAACAGGTGTCGGAAATCGTTGAAATAACATACCTAGTTTCCATTTGAGATTATTTCGTACAGAAAAAATATTATTTTGTAACATGTGTGGGTAGGCAAGATGGACAGTACTTGTGATCTTGAGGATGAAGTCCGCCACGCGCTCATTTCGAGGTGCGGCTCAGTGAGGCGCGATGAGTTATAACTTACCAACTCACAGAGATGCATCAACTCAAATGCACAACTCAACACTGTTACCCAGGCCTACGTGATATATAACGACCCAGTAATCACCTAGCCAACGTAATAGGTTAAATTTTGTATATTTTTATGTGATATCTGCTGACTCTACGAGCCCTAACAATTAGGGATGTATATGTTCCGACGACGTCCAAAATTCTAGTTCAATAATCATAATGTCAATAATGTTTAGTTTAAATATATATTTTTTTCTTTGTAATTGAAAAACAGGGTCTCATACAAGTTCTCTATGATACAGTAAAAAAAACTGAATTAATGTGTGTATTATTCGGTCAACACAACATAACCAATATTAAATCATATGGGCATACAATATGTCAATCTGACCAATCAAATTCCAACGTCGGGAACTGCGAACTGCATAATGCAAATCATGAAAACGATAACAACATGTTCATGTATGGCAACGGTATGGCAACTGCACAAACGGCGAACGGCACCAACTGCAGAGTTTATAAATCCAGCTTAAAGGCAAATCTGGAACTCACTCACCCCAGAATATTGCCAGACTCAGGGTTAATTCAAAAGCAAAACGTATAAAAGTCGGTCAAAGCCGCAAGGTGATGTTATATAGCTACCTACTTCTTATTAAACTTCGCCTTAATATGGTTGTAATAAAGTGCGTCCGAATATTTATTTGTCAGCAAGTTTATTACATTTTTGCTAATTTGTTACATAGAATATGCAGAAGAAAAAAGAACGTTTTCCACTGTCAGCCTTTATGTTATGCTGCGTAAATGGATAACGAATTCATTTTTCATTAGATGAAACAAAAAAATATATTTAATGTATATATACATATTATGGTTTATATAGGTAGTTGTTAGGGCTCGTATATTCTCATTTGTCCTCAATTCTTAAATCCGTTAGCGGTTTTCTGTTGAAACATCTATTTGCATTATGCAGTACAAATACGTAATCCTATAAACCCTATGAACATACCTAAAAAAATTGCGTTAACTCAAGCGGAAAGCTACATTTCATGGAAGGCGATCATCCGCATTTTCTGTGGTAATTTGCGAACACAATCACCGGTTTTCATTAATTAAACTGCTGTGAACCACTGCCGTCGATTCCGCTAAACGATTTAGACGAGAATTGTTATCACTTTATAGTTCTTCGAAAATTTAACTTGTTTGTTGTTGGTGATGGCGTAAAGTTATTACCATCTTTATTGTGTGAGATTCCTACTGTTCAATCTGTAACAGGAAACTATAATATTCATTTACATAGAACAGGTTAGGTGAACAACCTTAGTAAATATTTTATTGGCATTATTATTACCGAATTACATTCAAGCTTTCTCCTTTTTTTTCTCCTTTTTTTTTCAATAAAAAACTAGCCTCGAAAATTTTGCCATGCATACTTTTCGATGTACAAACAGCGACTTCATCTAATGTGCTCACCCTGTAGTCGATTTTAGTAATGTACAGTAAATCGTAATTTTATTGAAAGTCACTGACGACCGCCAAGCAACATCCGATTATTTTCATGTCTGGGTTCACACCGTGGGTCGTGTTCAATGAAGTGTATTTACTAGTTTTACACTTTGCTAATCGACAGGTGTCCGCTTTCATCCACAAAAGTTTACGCTTTAATTTTAAACGTCTGGCAAGTAAATGTACTTTTTCAAAATGTGAATTGGAAGTCTTTGAAATTTAGCTAATAATATTTATTTTTTTATTGGTAATTAATAGAGTAATCATATACGGTAGCAGTTGTACCCTATACAGGGTGATTCAAAATTGGCGTCATTCCTCTAGAGGTGTTGTCTGGCGCTGTTATAGGAGTACAGAAAA